CTGTATAGCATCCATAACCATAATTAGTATTTTGACATAGTTTTATGAAGTGGACCCAGAATTGGAGTACCCTATAGCAGACAAAGTGCTGGAAGTCACAGACACATTCATCCTCACTCACTCCCTCTCTCTTCACCTCTCTCTCTCTCTCTCTCTCTCTCTCACATACACATGTATGCTCCTACAATGGAGAGGGAAAAAATGAAGAAGAGTTAAGCCTTTGATGAGCTTACCTAGAATTTTGCCATCAGAAGCTATTTTAATTTAAAAACATACATGTAAATTTTGTCCTTTACGGTTTAGTATTTTTCAAATTTACATGTGGATGGGGGGCACCATAGTCATTTCAGTCTTTAGGATCTCTAGAGGTCTTGGTCTGAACTTGAACAAACCGAAGAATTTACTGTCAGCAAGTGCTATTTATACATTTACTTGTCAGCCATAAATGAACAATTATTGAGTACAAATCTGGGTGCTGAGGGTGGGGAGATGAGGACTAGGAAAATACAGAAAACAGAATCTTGGGTACCAGGGAGTTCACAACGTAGCTAGGGTGAAAGATCACGGGTAACAATGGAGTCTCATTTACAGGGCTAGATGTCAACAAATGTAGGTTGGTTTAGTGCTCCCTAAGTGCAGAAGTGTTTCAGGGTTGCCACTGAGATGTGAGAATAGCCTCAGGAGGGACAAACATAGGGACTTCTCATAGGAGTTCCTGCTTGGATTTTGGAAACTTAAACATTTTATTAAAACTTGGCTTTACTTTGAAAGAGGATATAAGTGTGTCTACAACTCACTTTATTTTGATTTCAATGGCCACATTTCCTTTAGAAGTGATATAATTTAAAGTTTTTAATTGCGTGTTTTGTAGTGTCCTTTAAATTTTTCTCACTTAAAAAGAATTGTATCCTTAGGTAGGGAGGAAAAAAAACTGTTTACTACAATTACAGTTGCCCCTTTTAAATGAGGGACAAAGGTGAGGGAATATACAAGAAAAAGGTCAGTGTAACATTTATATAATTTCGTTTCTTCCTTAACTAACTCTTCAGTAGTCTTGCCTAAGCATAGGTATAAATGGTGATTCCATATTGATGACCAGAAAAATTATGCAAGTATGGGCATATTGATACCCAGCAAAAATTATATAAGGCCCAAAGTCCTAAATTATGCAATTCCCAAGTCCTATATTACCAGAAATGGTCATTTTATGTCCTGAGATTGTGGAGGGGTGGGAGGTGGGAGGGGTACTTTGATTTCTTGGTTTGGTCTCTGAAAACTGATGTAATAACCGTTTCATTACTAGCCAAAAGCCTAGCTCTCAGTAAAATTGTGAAGTTGTTTATCTGCTACTCTTTACTTTCACACTCTTCTTCCTTTTACCCTTTTCCCACTCTTCTCAGAAGGCAATAAAAAGGGCTTGAGGTTACCCCCTGCCAGGAGCATTTGCTTTTTAAACAGGAGGCTTAGTGATTGGAGGTGAGTGTCCAAAGTATGGCAGGCACTGTGCTAGCTGCTGTTGTTACTGCAACACAGGTAATTGTATGGTTGAAAAAAGTAGTGCAGAGACATATACAAAATGAATTGTCAGTGTCACACAGGTAGTTAGGTTTTGAGTCCTAGTAGTATCTTTGACTCTAGAGCCTGTATTGTTTGTACTACATTAAAACATGTTCAGACTTTGAATAAACTATGCTGGAAGTTCAGGCTTTGTGCCAGTCCCACAGGAAAAAATGCTTTTGGGTAGGAGCATTGCCCTGCCTGGTGCACTTCAAATCAGATGAGGTGGGCCAGGTGTGGTGGCTGACACCTGTAATAGCAGCACTTTGGGAGGTCAAAGGTGGGAGGGTCACTTGAGGTCAGGAGTTTGAGACCAGCCTGGCCAACATGGTGAAACCCTATGTCTACTAAAAATAGAAAAATTAGCCAGGTGTGGTGATATGCGCCTGTAGTTCCAGCTACTCAGGAGGCTGAGGCACAAGAATCCCTTAAACCTGGGAAGCGGAGGTTGCAGTGAGACAAGATGGCACCTCTGCACTCCAGCCTGGGTGTCAGAGCAAGACTCTATCTTAAAAAAAAAAAAAATTAGATGAGATGAATCTAATTTGTTCTGCTAACTCATGAGGCCAGTTTTGTATAGTTGCACCTTAAGTCTTTTTCCTGTAGGCATATTGCAGGGAGACTTTAGCTTTGTTTTAAATTTATTAAATTTATTGAACATTTATTGAATGCCTGTTCTTTGCCAGACATTGTGTTACATGCTGGTGGTACAAAGACAGTCTATTTAAGGAGAAAGACTTTATAAGACATTGTAAATAACTATAATACAATTCACTGAATGATATAATAGAGGCAACACAAAGGATCATGGGAACATATGAGGGAATAATTAATTATGCCTTGAGGGAGGATGTCAGGAAATGCTGTATTTGATCAGAGCCTTGAAGGACAAGAAATAAGGATTTTCCAGAAGGATGGGAGGAAGTTGAGAGTTCATTTTAAGTGATGGGAACAGCATGAGCATGCATGTGAATATGCCTGGCATATTTGGTGGATGATAAGAGTTGGTTGACTGTAAAAACAGTCACCAACTTCCCTTTCCTGTCTAACTCCTCGCAAAGTGACGTTGCAGATCTATCCATTAAGAGGTGGAGTCGAGGCAGGCAGATTGCCTGAGGTCAGGAGTTTCAAGACCACTCTGGCCAACATGGTGAAACCCCATCTCTACTAAAAATACAAAAACATTGGCCAGATGGGGTGGTGTGCACCTGTAATCCCAGCTACTCGGGAGGCTGAGGTAGGGGAATTGCTTGAACCAGGAAGGTGGAGGTTGCAGCGAGTCAAGATTGCACCACTGCACTCCAGCCTGGGCAACAGAGTGAGACTCTGTCTCAAAAAAAAAAAAAAAAAAAAAAAAAGAGAGGTGGAGTCTCTTTCTGTATTCCAAACCTGGAGTTAATCGTATGACTTGCATTGACCAGTGGATATTAGCAAATAGTGTAGAGACTCATGCACTGGGGCCTCTGCACTTAGAACCCTGTGACTGTAATGTCAGTGAGCCCAGGTTGTTGCACTGCAGAATGAGTGGCCACCCAGAGAAGAACTGAGGCTCTTGCTGACAGTCATTGAACTGCTAAACATGTGAATGAGATCGTCTAGTTACCAGCTGAGCCACCATTTGATCACAAACACATGGGAGAGTCCAGGGGAAATCAGCCCAGATTTCCCTCATCTCTCTGGGGTGCCAGCTCAGACAAAACTAACTGCCCAGCCCATTCACAGACTTAGGAACTAAGTAAAATGTTGTTTTAGCTAGTAAATTTGGGGTGTTTTGTTTTGCAGCAAAGCTGGTATGCGGAAGTTATATGTAAAGTACAGAGAATATAGAAAGAGGGAGAAGCTGAAAATGAAGAGAATGTCAAGGAGTTTAAGATATCTGATACTGTATTAAGGAGTTTACACCTACTTTCTAGTACCAAGCTTCCCCACTTCATTGATTCATGTACTGCTTTTATCTTTTTTAAAACATCTCACACTACCTGAATAGATTAATTTTTCTTTAAATTGCCTGAGTTTTATACTGAAATTTACTTTTAAAGCAAACTTATTAACTTGACACCCAGTTTGATGTGTTAATTCTGTTTTTTGAAACCTATTAAAATATGAATAAGAAGTTGGTTTGTTTGCTATCAGAAATCATCTGTATATTATGAGTAGTGCATTCAAGGATTTCCTGCTTTAATCAGTAGGAATCAGAAGCATGTGGAGAATAGTTTTAAGAGCAGAGGCTGCTGCTAGGGAGGAGTGAGGAGGCTAATGTAGGGGTCCAAGTGGGAGATGGTAAATGGTAGGTAGGTACATTTGAAATGTGTTCCTGAGGAAGAAGAGAAAGGACCTGGTGACAGATTTGATCTATGTGGGGTGAGAATGGGGAGTGTGAAGGAGAAGGAGTATAAATATTGCTAGTTATTTTGGATCATAAATACTAATACTATTAAGAAAAAAAATATGTTATACAATTTATAATTTGATATGTTATAAAATTATATAAGAAAATATAATAATGTTACACTTGTAGAGTTTGTGATAGTAGGTCATTTGAAAACAGGTGTACTAGGCATTTGGACATATGGATTTGTGCTTAAAATATTATTTTTGAAGTCATCAGTATGTAGTTGGTACATAGTTGAAGTCATGAGAGTAGATGACATCATCTAGAGAAAATATTTGGTACAGAGATCTTCAACTTTTGTTTTGCTCATCCCCAAACTCTTAAGAGAAATAACTTGCTGCAGCTAGAAATAGTGAGGGGTTCATATATGTAATGATTCTCAAATGGGAGTGAAGGGGATCTGTGCAGTGTGAAAAACATGTCCCCCTGGTGATTTTGCTATACTGCTCCTCACCCCTTGTTGGTTTAATGAACCAACAAGGACTGAGGAAGAGGAATTAGTAAAGACAGAGAGCTTTAAGATGGAGAGGTAATCCACAGTGCTAAATTTTGCAGAGAAATCTAGTAGTATTAACATTATTCTTTAGCCAGTGCTGACTCATGAAAATATAGTACTTGGCGTATGATAGGAGCATGGTAAAGGTTTGAGTGAATGATTTATGTAGGACTGTTTTATATTTGAAATACTGCATAAGCCTTCAGTATTAAACTTAGACAAGATTTGTAATTGTACTACTTTGGACTTGGAAATCAATGTGGATTTAAAAAATTTTCTCTGTCCACGGTCAGTGGCTTAGAAGAGTGCCTACTTGGGCACCTTAGTCCTGATCCCAGGGCAGAGCAATGTTTGAGCCTGTATTGAGGAAATAATGCTGGGGCAAGGGTGTTGACTGATGTCTGTTTTATGGCCATTCCATGTGTGGTCATCCTGCCTCTGCCACCCATGGTTCCCAGAGGTGAGTTACTTACTTGCCTTACGCTGTTTTGGGTTGAGAGAATGAATAGACTTTACCGGCAGAACTGGAATGCCATCAGCCTATCTAGTTCTTAGGCATTTTATGCTCACACTAGCAGCTTCCTTTATTATTATTATAAAAATGAAAGGATTTCTACCTGCCTTCGCCTGCAGCTAGGGGAAGGCCCCAGATCAGGATAGCAGAGTTTCCTCAGACGAGAAGTGGTGCCCCTTGCATACTGCTCAGAGAATTCTCAGCAGCACAGGTTCATTTGACATCTGGTATTCACGATTCCTGTGAGAGTGGCTTCCCCCTAAATGTGCCCTGAAAGCATTCCTGCTGTGCCCCTTCTGTCCAAGTATAAACACATTATAGGAAATGAACAAGTAAAGACCCAGCTTATCCGGAAGGAATGAAGGAACCCCTCACCCAGCTGGCCTGGGGTTTTGATGTCCAGCTTCAGGAAATTTTGCCAGCCACTGGGGTAGGGGCGGTTGTCTTGACACTTGGCACCTTAGTTCCTTTCCCATTCTAAACTCCCCAGGTGCTGTCCACAGCCTCTGTTCTAAGTCATCCAGCTGAGGAAAATTGTTCCAGGACCTTTAAAATGTGAAAGAAGGGTTGTTTTTCATTGTAGGTTAACCAATGTGCAGCTGGATTAGTTATTTACAGTTGTAAATGTGGTGCTATGTTTACTGAGGTAGAGGGACACATTTAAAAATAATTGAAGCAGTCTACAGCCAGACCTATAAAGAAAAAACTGCCTTTCCACTTGTTTTAATATGAAGATAAAAATATTAAAAATGATAAAATGAATATATAACGAGGAAGTTGACACCAAAATTAAAGGAAAAGGAAAGCCTTTTCACTTTCCCCTGGCTACTGTCTTTCCAATTTCATTTTTTGTTCCGGCCTAATGAATGTATTGTAAGTAAAACCTGCAAGCTGTCTTTGCTCTCTGCCTTCCTACTACTGCAAATATCACCTCAGCCACTCTTTCAGATCCACTTCAAGGAAACACTGACTTGAAAACTCTCCCCCATGGTTTTGTCTGAACTGGCTGCCATTCTGCAGCATACACCAGATCCAATTGCTGGAGTCAGGGAACCCGAGAGGTGAGCGAGAGCAAGCACTTAGCTGAGTGAGTCAGGCGGGCCTGTGTGAAAGGATGTAGGTGAGCCAGAAGCTAATGGGAAGAATAGGGGGTCGTTGCTAATTTTGATGTGGGGAAATCTGAAAGGCTCTTCTGCATGTCAGGGCATTTGAATATTTGGCAAACAGCTGGCTGGGCTCCGGGAGAACGCCTCTTGATTCGCCTCGTCAGATGTTCAAAGATAAAATGAGGCAGCATGCACGCCAGCACATAGCTCATAGCCTTGCAGTCAGTTTTGAATTTAGATTTGAATTGTGATATCAATGTCATGGTGGCACATGCTTCGAGAAAGTACTTACAGAGAATAATTGAAAGATTCAGTGTGAAGCTTCTGAAAGCTGTAATTTAAAGTTCCAGAAGCCTCCATATTACTCTCACCATTAAAATTTAAAGTGACAGAAGCCCAATTATGTATGGTTATTTTCTTAAATAAAATCATATTTCTACCCCAAGTGAAAGATTCATTGCTGCCCGCTAATCTCTGTCAGGAGAACCAATCTCAGCGGCGTCTAGTGTCGGCAGCGAAGATGGTTAGCTTTATGCTAGGGACAATGGAGCGGCCCTGGGGGAAGCAGAACTGGAAGGCCTCCACGGAGGAGCTTGACTTGCAGGAGGCTGATTTGCATGATAATCACCATCATGGATCCTCTCTGGTGCCAGCCTCCACACTTAACCAAATGCAGTATAACTTTCACAGCAGCTGAGAAGCCCGAGTAGGGGCTGTAGCACACATTTTGCAAAGTCTGGATGACGTCAAAAACTGCTAGTGAAGTGGGGGCAGCTGGTTGTAAAGCTAAACCACATCGAAGAATAGAGACTTGGAACATAACCTTAAAACCTGATAAAGAATATCAAGGGGGCTGTTGAAAAATACGAAGCCTTTCCCTCTTTTTTTTTTTTTTTTTTTTTTTAACTCAAAGGAATCTGTTTACCAGAAGCAGCCTTTTCCTACTGGAACTTCTGAGGCTGTTGAAACCACGGCATGAAAATAGATCAGTGGAAATACAGAAACATTTCCAGTGCAGACATTTCAGTCTCTATCAGTTAAAAGTATGGAGCCAGACTTGTAGAATAGGACTCTTCCCACCAATCCTTGGTCTGTTTGATTATACTTTATATTGCATTGTGATTTGGGGCATATGATAGAATGGTAGCCAGAATTGCAATGAAAAATTGCACAGAGACAGTCAAGATGAAATCACTCAGAGTTTCTTATGAAAAACTTCATTCCTTAAGGTTCCCAGGGACAAAGGAACATGTAAATCAACTGATGTCATGATGCATGATTTTGGATAATATGGAGAGTATGTACATATCAATACTAATCTAAGCAGTCTTACAAATAATACATCACTTATTTCTTGTAATTTTCCCAGTTTGATAAAACATTTACGAGTAGGTCTTGATTCTGCTGAGTTTTATCATGACTGCAGCACAGCCAGCTCTTTGGCAGTCTGCAAGTTTATTTTTTGTTTTCTGGATTTAGCCTTAGGATCTATCCTTCTTTTTACAGAATTGGTCCTGTGATAAGAACTCAACTTCTCTTCCTTCCCTTTTGTTCGTGTCTCAGTAAGAGGTGGCCACATTCACTTATGTCCATGATTCCATCACTATGTTTAGACTCTCCCTGTAAATTATTTTGTCTCTTCCATTTTCCACCTTTGACATTTTGTTGGCCTCTTCCTTTAAAAAATCCTTTTTTAAATTCCCTGCTCCCAGCCTCCTTTCTTTCAATTCTTCTTGACTTGTCTACTCTGCAGCCTCTGCCTTTTCACCATTTACTCTTAACCCTTTGCAGTCTGGATTCAGTCACCCCAGGTGTGCTAAAACTACTTTCTCAGACAAAGATAATACTGCTACTTGACCTGCTTTTCTCACTCTGCCCTATAGAGGAGTGACTTACCTAATTGGTAAACTTGGGGTGAATAAGTGGGCTAGCTCAGCTTACTGCCAGCCATGCTCGTTCTATCTGGGGAAGGGCCTGCCTATCAAGAACGTACATTTCTCCCTGAGGCTGGGGGCTCATCCCAGCTTTTGCTGTCCTGGTCTGCCAAGATTATATAATTCTTTTCTTTCTTTTTTTTTTTAATGATAGAGAGTTTTGTTCTGTTGCCCAAGCTGGAGTGCAGTGGCGCAATCTCGGCTCACTGCAACCTCCACCTTGATCTGTGCCTCAGCCTTCCATATAGCTGGGATTACAAGTGTGTGCCACCACACCTGGCTACTTTTTGTGTTCTTAGTAGAGATGGAAGTTCACCTGTTGGTCAGGCTGGTCTTGAACTCATGACCTCAAGTGATCCACCTGCCTCGGCTTCCCAAAGTGCTAGGATCATAGGCAGGAGCCACCATGCCCGGCCCCAAGATGATATAATTATATAGCATAGCCAGGTGTGTTTTGGATTTCAGACTAAGCTACTTCCTCCACTTTGGCTGCAATCAGTAATAAAGGTTATATTCTGGTTCGCCATCTGTTTTATTTTTGTATTTTTTTGATTTGCTCAGAACCCAGGAAAGGAAAGGGGTGTCAATTTTGCAGAATCCTTTAGAAACCTCAACACATATCTGTACAAGTAAAAAGTTAAATTTTTGTCTTTCCAAATTCACTTTCCAGAAGCAACCACTATTAATGTGTGTGGTATATTCTTTTTGATTTTTCTATGTATATGCAAATATGTGTTTATATAAGTATGTAATAGAAACTTTTTTTAAGGATAGAGTCTTGCTGTATTGCCTAGGCTGGAGCGCAGTGGTTATTCACAGGCACTGTCTTTGCCCACTATAGCTTCAAACTCCTGGGCTCAAGTGATCCTCTTGCCTCAGCCTCCTGAGTAGCTGGGACTGAAGGTGCATGCCACTGTGCCCAGCAATAGAAATGTTTTTACTTGAATATCACATAACAGAAATACACATACCTACGTATTTATACTTACATGTCTCTAAGACAGATATATTTCTTTTCATATAATTTCTCTTTATACACATATATTTGTATATATGCACAGTTGTATTTTTTCCAAATATGGTATCACACTATACATTTTGTCCATCATCCTTTTTTCCCTGAGCATAGCTTCATGCCAGTAAATAGAGGCATACTATGTTATTTTTAATGGCTGCACAGTGTTCCGGAGCATGGATGGTCCATGATGAATCATCCTTCAACTGTTGGCTATTTAGATCATTTAATACTTTTGCTATTGCAGATAACACTGTAGTGAACATGGTAATGTTTTTGTTTTTGTGAACTTGTGCTGCTATTTCTGTAAGATAGATTCCTAGAAGTAGAACTACTAGGAGGTATTTGATTAATAATAATGAGGAACTCATAGGTTGGGAAGGATTCTGAGAATGCTCAATTTATCTAACACACCCAGGAAGATATTTTTTTCTTGCTATGGCATTGAATAGTCCAAAGAGTAAGACTCCATATTCTTTTTCAGTAATGCTTTCCAGTAACTTGAAATCAAAATCGATTATAAAAGAAATGGTAAATGACCTGTTGAGAGTCTGGCCATACTATAAGGGACCTGAAATCTGCTTCTGCCACCCATTCCACAGTGCATCAGGCCTAAAGAATAGTTGGCTATCCTTTACCTGGATTACTTTGCTTGTGTCCCAAGGCTGTGTCCCTTGCAGAGAGGCATGTGATAGCTCTTTCACAAGCTGGCCTAAAGAAAAGAAAAAAGCATGATGCAACTTGACAGAGTTGTGGGATACTGAGTGCTTCAGCTGGCCCCCTCTGAAGCATGTAGAATTTATTTAGAATATTTTCAGTATGGTGATGACCTACAAGGGGGAAAAAAACTCCTGTATGTTATGGAACTGGCTGTAGGCCTGGTGGGAACAGTGTTGCAGACATGTGCTTTTTTCACTGTCATATCTTTTACATGTTTCCCACTCAGTGTGCACATAGAAGCATATCTGTGTCAGAAACAAGTGCAGCACTAGTAGCAAAGATGAACATGTTCAACAGCTAGGAATGATCACATACTGTGCACATTTTACACAGCACCGTGGAAAGAGCCAGGCAGCCTCACTGTTAGATCATTCCACTGCACACCAAAGAGATTAGAAATGGACTTTTAATTATGATTGCTGATTTGCTATCATAATTAAAGGCTGCATTCCTTAATATGAGCATCTGATTAGGTTAATTTTCTTTAATTGATGAACGAGCATATAAACTTATAAAACTGAATTTGTTGTTATATATTGACTATTTAATATTCTGACTTTTTTGCTGGAGTACAAACTGTAGGCACTCTTTATCTGTTTTAGTTTTGAGGTAACTATTCTTCCTTCCTTCACCTTTGTGTGGCTTTTTAGATTTATTAATGGATAGAGTAGTGCTAAATGACTATTAAACTCTTTTCCATATACAGTAAAACCCATTAACATAGACCTCACTAAATTTGGAATTTATGAAAATGAGGTTGGGGCCTGGGTTAAAGTTTACCTTTGCATTGTCTCTAAACTAAAGCTTCACTGAGCTAATAAATAGTATAAATAAAATTGCAGGGGGGGTGGCACTACAACTTTAAAAAGCAGACTTTTCCAGCACTTTAGAGAAAGACCTTATAAGAGAGGTAATGAAGTAATGTCGCATAGTGCAAACACTAGGCCACTTACTAGTTATGTGACCTTAGCTTCATGGAGTATTTTCCTCCATCTGTAAAATGGAGATAGTTATCTACTTTATGAGGTTGTTGTGAGAGTCAGTTTTCAGGTATAGAAATGCCTTGTGTGAAGTAGTTACTTCATAAATGGCAGGTAAGTATTACCTAAAATAAGTGGTGAGCTAATTTTAAATACGTATTAATATTTTTTTTGTTTACTAAACTAGGGTTCCTTGGCAATTTATAGTTTTGTTAACCTCCTCTGAGGTATTACTTTTATTGTTATTATTAGCGATTGAAGGAAAAACCTAGCAGTTTGGTATGGCTGTAAAGAGCACGAGCTTTG